TGCAATGTCCTAAAGACAGTAATTTCACCCCTTCTCGATGCTTGAAGTTCTACAGGTGACTGCCTCCCAGGATTCAACTATTTGTATTCTAAGCCCTAGCACTCGGACTTAGAATCTGGCGAACTTTGATTGTTTTCCTCTCAGACAATGTGAAAACGCTTGTAGAATGCTTTATCTGTTTCAAACGAATGAGGCTTCGTTTGATTTAAATAAACTTTTGAAACCTTATCAGAAAAGTCACAACTGTTAGAAACAGTTAATAAAACTAATCCGAATTAATAAATAATTATTAATTCGAAATCAAAAAAATAATTTTATAATTTTTGACTATTAAATATTATATAATTTTATATAATATTCAAAGCCCAAATCGTTTTTGAAGCCCAATTTGCTTCCACTTGATCCACTTCCATTTACTAAGTGTGGGACTTCCACACTTGTAAAGACCTCACTCTTTCTACTTTCTATCAATGTGGGACAAAGGTTCTTGAATATCATTCAAACTTCCAACATCGAGATAGGTAGCGAAGCTGCCAGAGTGGTGTTTTTCCTTTTTTTTCGCTAAAATACCAAAATTTCCTCGAGGCCATTGACAAGTGAGAACATCATTTTTTTTATGCTTCTTATAATCTATACATAAACAATCTTATAAAAAAAAGAACTATGTTCGGCACGTTTTTGGTTCATTTTTGACAGTAATTGTCGCTCCAAGGCCTTCGATGCCCTCATGAAGGATCTCAAAGTTTATGCCGAATGAGGAGCTGTTCAAAGAAATGCATCAAATGTGTATGGGTTCAATCCAACAGGGATCATAAGGCACTCTCTATGTGTGGAGATATAATGTCTATGATGAAGACTATGATGAAGAAAAATGCTAGATCATTATTCACTATCATATAAATAAGGTACAACAAGCACCATATATGTATCTCTTCAATATGATTGATATATTTGCCAATGATCCTCGTACAACAACTTGTATAAGAATTGAAGAAATATTATTACATAACATTCTATAGTACTATTGGCTACTATATTTTCACATCAGAAAAATACTAAGATACAAATTCAAAAAAATCATTGGTCTAATCATCAACCTCGAGGGTCTTGCCATCTGTTGGTACTAAGCAATGAATCCCATCCTTTATCTACAATTAAGAATCATACAAAACATCAACTATACATGCAAAACCATATAGAAAAGATTAAATTTTTGACGATCATTTGTGTTCAGCTCAACACATGACCTCTATCAAATAAAAGGGCATTATCAATTCTCACAAGAACAAGGACATTCTTCATGCTGTTCTCTGAGTTGTAAGTGACATGTTGCAGGACATTCATTGGAGATGTGCTGCAGAGAAGGATTCAATCAACTGATATGTTGTATGGCACATTTGAATCATGATCCACTGGGGAAACAACAGGCGGCTGCTGGAAATGATTACTGTTTAGATGATCATTTCCTTCATTCACATTGCCTGGAAAGGGCTGTGGCTGTATTTCAGTGCTCATGTCATTTATATTGACAGGAAAGCTTGTATATCACTCGACACCAAGCAGGGTGTCTTGCCCCAGTTAAATGTTGCATTGGGCTGTGATATATCAATCAATTGTTGGTCATCAGGGACCTGTGAATTTGACAGTTACCAAAAAAAAAAAAAAAAAAAAACTACTTGTGAGAGATGGGACCAAAATAAAATTTCAAATCAAACATAAGAAATTAAAGCAAGGTTTGAGTGAAGCATCATAAAACATCATAAAACATCATACATCTTGGGAGATAAACAGCTCAATCAACCCACTGCACGTGGAACCAAAACTCTGGTCCCATCTCTTTCCTGCAAAATGTAAGTAGAAACATATAGTTACATTTAATTATATGTTCAGAAAATGACTTTCTTTTGGAACTAGCTAGGAAAAATGGGAACTTGAGCTCACTGCCATGGCACTTGAATCTCTGTTAGAAGATGAGTTCAACAAATGGGCTGGTTTATTAATGGATGTGCATAAATCCTGCTCATGAAAACCCATGGTTAATAATATAAAAACACTAATTAATTTCTTTTGTCAAGATATGTATGCTAGTTGGTAATTATGATTGAATGAGTAAACAAAAATGCGAAAATGAAAAGGATTGGTACCCAGAGTCTAAGGACAGAGAAGAAGGAAGCTGGGCAAGAAGATCACAGGAATTTGTTCTTGAGCGCTGCATTGTATCTCTGCATGGAAGGACTGGATAAACTGGAAAAATAAGTTCATTTCCTCCATTAGTCTGAGTGT